CTCGTTGTGGTCAACTTATTATACTGTACTCTCTTACAAGTTCCTTACTTAACAAGATTGGTACTTTGTTATTCTATCTTATAATAGAATTGATTGTCTTTACTATCGGTTAAACATCCATAACTCTTTTCCACTCGAATTACTCGGCAATCACACGGCTTACCACGAATCCGCTGACTCGCCCTAACCCGGATCGAGTCCTAGCTAAGTATAGTCGAACCCCGTGTAACACTTTGACCACCACCGAATTCAGTGGAGGATTTTAACCAATAGGTCGCTCGAATAAGATTACCATAATGGCCCACAACGGAAACCAGTTCACCCAGGGACAGGAGCCCACGGTTGCAGCTCCTACGCCCTCACCAGCTCTCGACGATGAGATGCTCGAAGGAAGTGGTTCGGACTCCGACTCTTCGGACGACGAGAAGAACGACGCGAACCAGGCCGAGGTACGAGATCTTAAGCGAAGGCTACGCATGCAAGAAAAGCAGCATAGCGACCAAGCCAAGCAGATGGCGGCCATGCAGGAAATGATGGCCCAGATGGTAAGCCAGCTTATGGCTACGCCTAACGAAAAACCACCTCTGAAACCTAAGATGGCAGTACCCGAGAAATACGAAGGAGGACGAAACGAACTAAGGACGTTCCTCACCAACATCGACTTGTACTGTGGATTCAACTAAGTACCTAATGATTAGGAAAAGATCCTAATGGCTAATACACACATGAAGGGCAAAGCAGCCATGTGGATACAGCTATATGTTGAAGATTTCCTAACCTCACCCACCACCCACGGAACTAGGGAAGAAACTAAGGCCTTATTCAAGGACTAGGAAAGTTTTAAAGAAGAAATAGGGCGCATCTTTGGGGAGGTAGACGCAAAAAACTAAGCGGAGAAAGCAATCACTCGCTTAAGGCAAACCAAGTCCGTGTTAGCATACACAGCTGAGTTTAAACAGCTCTAAGCCAGAATCGACTGGGACGATGCAGCACTTCGAATGGTATTCGAAGCCGGACTCAAGGACAATGTCAAAGACGGTCTTGTGCACCACGACAAACCCGACACACTTCATAAGCTAGTTGAGCTAGCCACCCGTATCGACAACCGACTGTGGGAACGAGCCCAGCAAAAGGGACGATTCTAACCCACGGTAGCCAACATGAAGAAACAACGAAACCGTACAGACAGGGATGGTGACACCGTTATGACCGGTAAAGTCCAAGACACGAACAAGAAGACCCGAGGAACGAACCAGAACGGTATTTCTAAGGAAGAACGCCAGAAGCGTTACGACAACAAAGCATGTCTCTAATGCGGCGAAGTAGGACACTTCCGCAGAGACTGCCCGAAGAACGAAATCAGCAGGCAGGCAGTAGTCAAGGTCAAGATGATCAGACTATCTACGCCATATCCCAGACACGATCTCACGTCGGAGGACAATCTTAGCGATGTAGACCTCTATGACGAGGCGCGGAGAGCCACCAGCCTAGAATACGTAGTCATCCCCAAGCTGGCCCAACCAAGCATCGAATAGGACGTACCCTAGGCGGAGGACTAGACCGTTAACGGTACAGACGCCCTACAACGATTGGCCTAAGGACAGTGCTGGACATATAGAGGCATTACACACCAAGCCAACGACTATATCTCCAAGATAGGGAGGATAGTCGTCACGGGACCAAACGCCACTGAGATCATACAACAAGCACAAAGGGAACAGCCTTACTTTGTGGAACCAGCTGAGGTTTCGGACTAAGAAGCACTACGAAGAAGTTAACGCACGAAGCATAAGGACCTGCATTAGGTCGACTGCAAACACAAAAGATGTAGTCAGCACGAACGTGCAAGAGAAGCATCAAGATACGGAGGGGACGAGTGTTGCCACGACCATCTAGAGCCAGAAGAATGTCGCGTGGAACAATGCCCTATACACGAGCAAGAAAAGATACAAATCGCTCACGAAGAGCTGTGCTGGGCTAAATGCACAATCAACTGCTCGTTTTATTAGAACTAAAGGAAGGATGCGAGGAAGGTAGACGACTTCTACCACAGCACCCTCATGCCTGGGGAATGCAATGCAAAGGACTGCCGGATGCACGCCGGGCTGGGCCAAGAAAAGACTCAAAGAATTAGGCCACAACCAAGGGAGGTAACGGATAACACCCCAAAGGAGATACCTCACTAGAACATTTATTGGAGATTCTGTTACAAAGACCAATGTAACGTTCACTTCGACGCCAAGTACGGCGTAGGATATTTTCCCCAAGAAAGGAAGAAGTCGCAGAAAGGACGACTCTCTAGGCTAAAAAACTAGGATGCCGCCAGAGACAGGGTCACGCTGGCAAAGGCAGTCCTATAACGGCCCTTAAACAAGTATAACACACCAAGAGCCCACGATTAAAGCTACAAGCAACAGTGGTTGTACACGGAAAACGGATGATCGCGACTATCGACAGCGGCGCGATGCATACCATGATCTTATCAAGGACGATAGAGAAACATCAGATACCACATCGGGTCAAGAAGACGCCAATACCCGTGGTACTCGCCGACGATAAGCCTATGGATTACGGCAACGGCATGATATAGTTTGAGACTGAACCAGTGACGCTAGAATTAGCGGGCACTATAAGCACTATGAGAATCAATATCATAGACCTTGGAGAGGAAGAAATATTAATTGGGTATAATTGGCTACAGGATCATAACCCAGCCATCGATTGGCAAAAGAAAACTATACTCAGCCGAGAGCCTGTGCGCAAGGTTGCTGGAGTACGACAAGAGACACGCCCGACGAATCAGAGCTCACCCAAGGACGGGAGATCCGGTAAGATCTCACCGCATAAGATCGCGAGAATCTATGCGAAGGACCCTTAGCAAGTAGGAGTTATATGGATAAGACAGGTTGCGACTAAGAAGGACGAACCCTTACCACTGAAGATACCAAAGGAATATCAGACGAACGAGTTTAGGGAACTGTTCGAGGAAAACGAGGCAACAGACCTAGCTGAACACCAAGACTGGGATCACGAGATCGTCTTGGAGGAAGGAGCGAAGTTGACGCCAGGAGGAATGTATCCGATAGCGCCCGAGCACGACGCTGAGCTAAAGGAATACCTCCGAAAGAATTTAAAAAAGGGATTTATCCGACCAGGCCATGGCCCGATGGCCTCGCCTATACTGTTTGTAAAGAAAGCCAATGGCAAGTGGCGACTGTGTGTCGACTACAGAAGGCTAAACTCAGTCACTCGGAAGAACCGATATCCCTTACCACTGATAACAGAGCTCATGGATCGACTCCAGGGAGCTAAGTGGTTTACGAAGTTCGACGTCTGGGAAGGATTTTACCGGATCAGAATCAAGGAAGGAGACGAATGGAAAACAGCGTTCAAAACAAAGTATGGACTGTACGAGTACACGGTAATGCCGTTTGGATTGACGAATGCGCCGGCAACCTTTTAGTCAGTCATCAACAACGCTCTCCACGAATACCTTGGAATCTTCGCGACAGCATATCTAGACGACGTACTGATGTACTCTAGAGGATCGCTTGAAGAACACGTCGAACATGTCAAGAAGGTCTTACGAAAGCTTAAAGAATACAAGCTATACCTTTAAGCCGAGAAGTGTGAATTCCACACGCAGGAAACAGAATTCCTGGGCTTTATTATCTCAACAGAAGGTGTTAAGATGAATCCAAAGAAAGTCCAAGCGGTACAGGAATGGCCAACACCCAAAACCGTTAAGGATGTGCAGTCCTTCTTAGGATTTGCGAACTTTTACCGAAAGTTCATCAGGAACTACTCCCGGATTACAACACCGCTTACGGAGATCACGAAAAAGGACATAGGGTTTAAATGGACCACGGAATGTCAAGAAGCCTTTGAAGAACTAAAACAGATGTTCCTCGAAGCACCCGTACTAGAGATGTACGATCCAAGACGGGAAACCAGAGTTGAGACCGATGCGTCCGACTATGCACTCGGAGCTGTATTGTCACAGCAGTGCCCAGATGAAAAATGGAGACTAGTGTTCTACCATTCACGGAAGTTCTCTGGAGCAGAGATAAACTACGATGTTCACGATAAGGAACTACTTGGAGTAGTCAACGCCTTTGAACAATGGGAAGTATATTTGTTAGGACTCCCAGACGTGATCGAAGTGTTCTCCAATCACCAGAACTTAACGAGTTTCATGACGACCAAGAAACTCAACTGACGACAAGTTCAATGGGCCGAAACGCTCGCCCAATTCGACTTTAAGATAACACATCGAGCGGGATCGCTCAACGGAGCCGCCGACGCTCTGAGCCGAAGATCCGACCTACGGGAAGAAGGACACAGGGAGCCACACGACGCAGTACTCAGACAGATGCCTGACGGGAGCTTGAGGTACAACAAGCCCGACCTAGTCAAGGTCAGCGTGGTAGCTCACCAAGTCACGACTCTTCAGCAACAATGGCAAGAGAAAGCCACCCAATGGCGACAGGAACCAGAATACCCGCCAGAAGTAACAAACGATGGGAGAGAACTCACGGCTTTGAGGGAAGGAACACGAACATACGTGCCTCCTCATATGAGAACAGAACTCATCAAATCCCTGCACGAGTCCCCGGAATACGGACATGCAGCGATAGACGAAATGGTCAGGAGACTGAAAAAGACGTTTGATATACCACGCTTGCGAGCGAAGGTGCAGGAAGTCCGTAGGCAACT